TCTCTCTCTCTCTCTCTCTCTCTCTCTCTCTCTCTCTCTCTCTCTCTGTGTGTGTGTGTGTCACCGTGACACCGTCGAGAGTGCGCTCGCGCCAAAACCTTAGACCGCTAACTCAACATACAACAACCGACTGGCCATTTGTCTATGATCAGTTCTAGTTAATGGCACTTTAATCGTTTTACAATTAACCGCCTGTATTGTTGCTCGTCGATGAGAATCATTTATGCCCGCACGTTTCGAGTGATATTCAGCCTATGATTATTATTAATTTTGAGAGATGGCATTTACAATACTATAACGGCGACTCTTTCCACCTTCTGTGGTCGTTTAGAATTCATAAAAACAATTGTTAATTTAAACGATCGGCGGACGTGTGTATGGTCGATATTTCATGCGATGGATTAGATTTTCATTGGATTGGGTAAACATTACATTCATTCCACCTGACCGTTGTTGCTGCCGTCGTTGTGCTCAAACAAAATAAATCTTTTGGCACAACGTTTGTTAACAATGCTGAGGGCATCGCAATCGTGTTGTCTGCACAGCACCGGAGAAGCAAATGGTCAAAAAGTGTGCGCGAGCGGTCGTAACATGGAAATTGAAAAGTTTTCTAAAGGCCGCGCGTGTCAGTTTGGTTCGGTTTTGGTATATTTTTTTGTGTGGATTGTGCAATGCGAAAAACTTATTCATTGTAATGAATTCTTAAAGTGGATTCCGGTGAATAACAACAACGAATCGTTCATTTGAAAATTTCGTTTCGTTTATTTTGGGCAGTATCGTGTCTTTGTTTTTCGATCTATCGCTCGGACCATTGTTCGTAATCGCTCAAATTTGATTATCATTGATTTCATCGTGGTAGACAGTAAAAAAGTGTGGACGAGGAACGTGTGACTTTTGTCGTTCGTTTTCAGTGAATTAGATCGATAACGTACACACACTTGCACCCGCGCGCACACTTCATCAGGAATAGTGCATTGTCATGGCATGTCATAAATTCGAATGATATTTATTACTGCATGGTAAATTTGCAGTGCCATCGCCGCAATGTCGTAAATTGCAATTTTACAATTTATCTTGATAAATGCATCTCTCCATCTCACACACACTCAACTCCACAAGTCATTCTGCCAAAACGGTTGAGGAACAAATAGACGCAAACGCATACCGAAATAAAAACGGAATTTTTAACCGTACAAAAAAAAAACAAACCAAGTCGAGTTCGACTTTAATAGACGGTGAGAGCAGAAGAAGAAGAAAACTAAACGAAGCCCATCGACGGAACAAATCCAAAATATATGCGCGTACCGTTTTAATTTATGTGTTTAGAAAATTAAATTATTTGTGTGTAGAGTTTAAAGTTGCGTTGTTTTCTTCTATTCATAAATATTTGTGACGGGCTGCGGTTGCTGTGTTGCTTAAATGTTGGTGAGCACAATGACAGACTCTCTCGATCTCTCTCTCTCTCTCTCTCTCTCTCTCTCTCTATCTCTCTCTCTCTCTATCTCTCTCTCTCTCTCTCTTGTTCGAACGCTTGACCAGAGGCAGATAATACAAAAACCGTGAGTGTGCATCGCGCACGAATCCAATGAAAACGAAAGCAAATATTTACACAAAGTCAAAAAATATTTGGTAGCCGAAGCAACAGCAACCGTGCAAGCAGCAGATGGACAGATACACATGTGAATGACGATACAGAAACTAATTAAATGAATACGAATGAAGTCTTCTGTTAAATAAATAGCGTTTTCCAAACAATTTTCTCGCTCTCTCGTTGCGATCTCACACGCTTTTGGTCGAAAAATCACATCACATACAGACATACACTGACGCAGTGAGACGATTTCAATTGTACATTGTAACATTGGCGGCGTATAAGCGGGTGTTGGACGCAGTGAGAGTGAGAGCAGATATGCAGACGCGATCTTATGTTAATTTGATCAAAATCAGTGAAGCGTCAGCGAGAAAATAGAAAAAAAAGCAGCCTTAGACTGACGAAGACTGCAAAGTGGTTATGTTGTTATCGAAGAACCATATCTACTGATGCAACACCTTGGTTTAATCATGTGGATAAGGTGTGAAAAATATCTTAAAAAAATAAAATTAGAATCTCTTAGTAGATGACTTAATATCCGGCATTTGTTTGGCACTTTTGTCATCCAATCGAACAGGCGACACACCGATAACTGTTGTTAATATGCTCACACACGCGCGCGATCAATTCCATTTTGATTCGCCTCTATCGCTCGTTCTCATCATCATCATTGTTATCCCATTCGTTATGGATTTTATGCGAGATGATAAATTCGTATTTATTTTAAATCTGAGAGTTCTTTTTTTTGCACCTTCTAAAATCGTTGGCATTATGTAATCACGGATCGATTTGTGGTGATTTGCATTCGTTCGCGCGCGCGTGCGCGCAAAAACATATATTATGGAAATAACAGTGGTTTATGTGCGAGCACAAGTGTGATTAACTGTAATAAATGAAAAATGAAAAGAAGACGGTAAGAAACGGCGATGAAAACGGCAGAAAAAAAACAAAAACAGCACGCTAAAAGATTAACTTGTTTTGGGCAGGACATCTTCTTTGAAACCTTGAAATCAATTCGGAATTGCGGTTTGTATATTTAGGCTACCTTTTTTTGCACTTATTCTTCTGTGAACCGAAATAACAGGTTATTTATGATCGATTCATGAACTTTTGCCAACTTGTTTTTGTTTTTCGCCTTCTTCTTGCATCGATTACTTGACCGCTTATTGACGTAATATATTTCTGATGCCGTATACAATTAATTGCGTGAAGTGAGAAGAGAGGCAAAAAAAAGAGCAGCACCTGATAAATATCGCACAGATGCATCGCACTTTCATGTCTTACTTTTGATATGACACAGTAACATTTCTGTGGTCGTTGTCTCTTCTTTTATTCATATTCTTCTTCGTTTACACGCTGTTTTTATTTCGTTCGCTTTCTTTCACCCGCGGCGGCCGCGTCATCGTGTATTCATTACGATTTGTGGCAGCGATTGCACTTCGTCGAACAAAAAAAAAACAGCTATGAATAAAAGATTCTTAATTACGATGAGCGAGCGAGCGAGGGAAAGACATCAATTCCATGCAGCTCAATCAATAGAATCAAAAGTTGAATGCAAACGATAAATCACATTGCTATGAGCAGGAAACTTGATTTGCTTTCTTCGTTTTGTGTGTGTTTTGATTTGTATTTTGGTTTTTCTTGCTATTTTACGCAAAGTATGAAACATTTGCAATTCATTACGTAATTTTTCTGAGACGAAGAAGTTTTTGTGTTTGTTTTTTCTTCTTCTTCTTTTTTGTTTGAAACTCATTAACTAATTTTTCTTTTTTTTTTACTTTCGGTTTTCTTCTTCATCATCATCCATTTATCGGTATTACTTCGTAATCTGAAATTGAGTGAATGCGCGCGCACACACTCATTTTTCTATCGGTGCTTGCGGGCGCAGTTATCTCAACGCATTTGTCAACATATCTGTCTCACATTAGAAATTGGTAAGTTGGTAGTATTTATGGAGTGAGTGAATGTGTAAGCGCGTACGCGTGAGCGCAAGCGCAAGTGGTAGTTTCGGTTTTTAATCGCTTTGACCTGTCTAGTTTTCTTTCATTTAACGAAATCCGAATTAATCTTCAATGAAGAAGACACGAGAGAGCGAAAAAAAAACTTGAACAACAATGAAAAGAAGTAAAAATACGATGATCGTGTAACAAGTATGTTTGGGCGGACAATTATTATTCATATGTTTATATGCAAAAGTGCTTTCAACTTTGAATTCATTTCACTTTTCTTGGTTTTTTTTTGTTGTTGTTTTTTTTTCTTCTTTGTTCATCGTTTGAGTCATCGAAATGTATGTTTTTAAACTATCGTTTGGGTTAATTTTCAGTTTTCTTCTTCTTCTTTTTTCGGGGGAATTTTTGGCCGTTCCAAATTATAACAATTACAACAATAGATTACAGCAATTGGTCCGCCTCACATACATATTGCGTTCCATCAACACAAAAACTCTTCAACACAAATCAATTACAACGTGTTTTTTTTTCTCGTTACTTTTCAAAATAAATCCAATCAACAACAGCAAATTCATCACCAACTATTTGATTCCGATTTGAGTGCATTTCGCATCATCATCATCAATCATCGTTACACTTGTTCAACCAAAACAAATTGAACTTGATGAGCGTTTAAAACATTTACAATTGAAAACAAACATAGTCCTTTTATTTGGAAACAGCAAACGACAGCATTTGATGATCCAATAATGTTAAATTATGGGCACAGAAACTGTTTATCCACAACAACAATGCACTCGTCTATTGTTAATCCATATTGTATATGTGTGTATGTGTGTGTTTATTGATAATCCAAAAATTGTTCGAGCGAATCGTTTGTTTTTATTCCATTTGAAGCGGAGCGTAAATCCTTGGGTACTAGAACTTGATTTTCACTTCTTCTTTTTTTATCATTATTAAACACTGTTTTCTTTCAGCGAACAAAAAAAAAACTTAAAACTCAACAAACTAAAAATGATTGTCTGTTATCACTTAGCAAGCGAATTATTATCGAAGGACATGCGGAAAGTTAACCAGCAGTCAACAAACCAAAAAAAAAGTAGAACGAAAGCGAAGAAAAATGCATTGCCAATTTACTAACGAAGAGTAATTTCTACAATTGGAACGAAAAAAAAAAGTAGAGAAGCATAGACAGTAATTGTAATGTATGTGGGGTTGGTATGCTCACCATGGTTACTTAGGTTGCACAAAAAAAAATTTAAATTGAAACAATTATATAAAAAAGATCGATTGTTTGATTCTTTTTTAGTAAATCGGGGTAAAAAAGAAAAAATGACCGTTATTTGCACGATGCGATCGTACAACTGACGAAGACGATGGCGATCACATTTATTTATACAAAAATCAGAAGCACTGCAAATCAACGGGCGGGTGTTCGGTGCGCGCGAGAGCAACAACGAAAAAAAAAACACACACAACATAACATAACAACAACAATAACATTAAGTAGCAATGCGCACACGGATGCTCCACTGAATTGCCCGTTTTCCTATACACAACATAATACAACAAGCATACCACACACACACACACACACACACACACACACACACACACACACACACAC